GGAGGAAGGTGAGCTGGTGAGGGACCCCAGGACTGGAGGAGCAGCAGAGCAGCCCGCCCAACAGAAGAGGACCCAAGCCCGGCATTTCCTCACCCACCCCTCCTCCCCACACACAGCTGCTACCAGGAGGAGGGCCAGTGGATGGGAGTCTGTCACAGTTCTAGGGAGTCTGGCAGAACTGGTACGAAGATCAAGGGAAGTCTCCTGATATGGGGTCAAGGGAAGCACATTCCTCCCCACACCGTGCCCTGCCTCACTCAGGCTCCTGCCCCCCCCCCCACCAGAAGCTCTGGCGGATGGGGGCACTGGCAAGGGAAACCCCACCACGGCAGGCTTTCAGCCCAGCAAGCAGGGCTTCCTCCCCCAGGAAAACACCCCCTTCCCGACCCAAGGCACAGGATGGTCCAGCCTAGGAAGTGCCTCCCACCCATTCGAGAGCACCAGCAGGGCCCAGCGGCATGAGACCAACACAGTGCAAGAAAGGCCCTGAATGTTATACTGTCCTTAGGTCCACAGGCCGTGAAAGCAGCCCAGGACCTGCATCTTGAACCCAAACAGGATGACTGCCTGCTAAAATTAAAAATTTGAACATAATAGCCTGTCTGGGATACAATTAAAAAAAAAAAAACACCCATCATACCGTGGAAATCAGGGAAGAACCCAACAACCAGGAAAATCACATCTAGAAGAAGAAAATTTTTAAGAAACACAGAACTGAACTGAATGAAGATAAAAATACAAAATCAGATTATGTGGTCTGCACGTAACAGTGCTAAGAGGGATATTTACAGCACATCAGAAAAGGGGAAAGGTCTCAAATCAATCATCTAAGTTTCTACCTCAGGAAACTAGGAAAAGAAGGGCAAAATAAACCAAAACAAGCAGAAAGAAGGAAAGAGCAGAAATCAATGAAACTGAAAACAGGAAAACAACAGAGGAAATCAATGAAACAAAAAAGAATAGTTCTTTGGAAAATTGATAAACTTGCAAGATGGACAAAAATAGAGAAGACACAAATGACCAGTATGCAATGGGGGCTATAATGGTTAATTTTATGTGTTAACTTGACTGGGCTTAGGGATGCCCAGTTAGCCCGTTAAATGCTATTTCTGGGTGTGTATGTGAGGGCATCTCTGGAGATTAGCATCTAATTCAGTAGACTGAGTAGAGATCCTCCCTCACCAATGTGGGTGGGCATCAGCCCATCCGCTGGGGTGGGGTCAGAGAGAAACAAAAAGATGAAGGAATGGTGGATTCACTCTCCTTGAGCTGGGACGTCCTTCTCCTACCCTCGGACATTGGACTCCAGGGCTGATACCAGTGACACGCCACCCCACACCCCTCCCCATTCTCAGGCTTTTGCACTTGGACTGGATTTATACCAATGACTATGGTTTTCCTGGTTCTCCAGCTTGAGAAATGCAAATCATGGGACTTCTCGGCCGTCATAACTGCAGAGCCAATTCCTGTAATAAATCTCCACTTACATTTTTCTCTCTCACATATTCTGCTAGCCCTGTTTCTCTGGAGAATGCTGACTAATAACAGGGCTACAGAGTCTGAGGGCATTTCAAGGATACTAAGGGAATGCTACCAGCAATGCTCATAAATTCACCAACTTTGAAGAAACGGACAATTACTTGAAAATTGAAATCTACCAAAAATTCAAACTAGATGAAATAGATAATATGAATAGTCCTAAAACCATGAAAGAAATTGAATTTGTAACTTAAAAAAAGCTTCCCCAAAGAAGTCTTCAGGCCCAGATAGTTTCACTGGAGTTCTACCAAGTACTTAAAGTAGAATTAACATCAATTTTAGACAATCACTTCCACAAAATAGGAGGAAACACTTCCTAACTCATTTTAGGAGACAAGAAATACCCTGGTACCCAGACCATGCAAAGATAGTACCCAAAACAAACAAACAAAAACTGCAGACCAATATCTTCCAGGAACATAGGCACAAAAAGTCTAAAATATAAGCAAATCAAATCCAACAATGTATATAAAGAATTGCACATCATGACCAAGTAGAATTTATTCCAGCTATGCAAGTGTGGTTCAACACTTGAAGGTCAATGTAACCCTCTACACCAACAGACTAAAGAAGAAAAATTATATATCAATTGATACAGAAAAAGCATTTGACATAGCCCATCAGCCATTCAGATTAAAAAAAAAAACTTCTCAGCAAGTTAAAATAAACTTGATAAAAGTCATATACAAAAGCCTTACAGCTAACATCACCCTTGGTGGTGAAAGACTGAATGCCTTCTAAGATTGGGAACAAGGCAGGGATGCCTGTTCTCAACAGAAGCTCCCCTCCCCCCCCTTTTTTCAAACAGTGCTGGAAGTTCTAACCCCTGCAGTAAGGCAAGAAAAATAAGTAAAAAGCAGATGGACCTCAGAATGAAAGCATGAGGAGCTCCACTGACCAGCTCCCCAGTGAAAGCTGGTGAAAATTATAAAACAGGCAAACATTTAAAGCTCCTGGAAAGGGTCTGAAGGGCAAATAGGTGAAGCAATAGCTTATTCAAGATCTATGCTGGGAATTCCCTGGCAGTCCAGTGGTTAAGACTTTGTACTTCCACTGCAGGGGGAGTGGGTTTCCCCCCGCTGGGGGACTAAGATCGCGCATGCCACGTGGCACAGCCAAATAAAATAAAATATATGCAAATTTACGAAGAAAGCAGTCTAGAGTATTTGAGAATCCACCGTGTACAGAGTGGTGCGGCCAAGAACACAGGGCCCCTCACCCCCTGCCCCTACCCTGGGGGGATGAGGGCTTTGGCACTTCTTATCCTGCCCCCAGATAGCCGCTGCTGGAGCTGAACCCCAGGCAAGTGTGGCCAAGAGGTGGGGCTCCCTTCTGTTTAGTCCCCACTTGTGGGAGAGAGACTCTGTTTCACCAAAATTGAGAACTTTTGTGTTTCAAAGGCCACCATCAAGAAAGTGAAAATATAGACCACAGAATGGGAGAAAATATTTGCAAGTCATTTATCTGATAAGGGACTTCTTTCTAGAACGTATAAAGAACTCTTACAACCCAATAAGACAACCTAATTAAAAACTGGACGAAGGATCTGAATAGGTATTTCTCCAAAAATTATATGTAAATAGGCCATAAGCACATGAAAAGATATCATTAGTCATCATGGAAATGAAAATCAAAACCACAATGGGATAGCGCTTCATACCCACCAAGATGACTAGAATAAAACATCAGGTAAGTGTTCAGCATCCCTAGCCATTAGGCAAATGCAAGTGAAAAGGTATCACTCCATACCCTCCAGAGTTGCTGCAGGAACCCCTGCGAACACCAAAGGCTCCCAGGGATGTGGAGGTCCTCACACTGCTGGTGGGACTGTATCATGGTACAGCACCCCCCGCACACACTGTGGAAGCTTCTTAAGCAGCATAGAAATCCCATACGACCCAGCAGCTGTATTCCTGGGCACTCATCCCAGCGAAATGAAAGCTTAGGTTTACACAAACACCCACACACAGCGCTGAATCAGTCTAACAGCAGTAACGAGGAAGGACCTACTGGATGAAACGCCACAGAATGGTGCCCGTGAAGAAACCCAGTATCTAAAGGTTGTATACTGTATGATTCCTCTATAGAACATTCTCCAAGTGACAAAACACATGGAGGACAGGTTGGCAGCTGCGGGTTAGCTGAGAACAAGGTGGAGGTACGAGCATAAAGGACAACACACGGTGTCCTGGTGGTGATGCACGCGTCCTGCATGTGGACCCTTATTCCCGTCAGTGTCCTGGTGTGACATGTGCCAGAGCTCTACAAGATGTCACCTTTGGGGAAACTGGTAGGGGCACCAGAGACCACTGTGTAGTTCCTTACAACTGCAGAGAAGCTGTTAAAGTACCTCAGATAGAAGCCAGAGATCCTGGTGAACAGGACGAGCTCTTTCTTCGCTGGGAGCCCCCAGAGGCGTCCCCGCTGGCCCAGCCCCGCGCCCTTGTCCACACTCGCCCTTCACTGTACAGTGCTCCCTGCTCCCTCATCTTGCCTGGGCTTGGACTCAGCAGCTTCAGAAAGCCATCTTGGCTGCCCTTGTCTCTGGGTGAAGAACCCCCGCCTGCCTGTGCAAGTGACAAGGACCCACGTCCTGTGAGCTGGTGCCTGATGGTTCCCCCACTACCCCAATGCCTGTGTGCCTCTCTCTGAGGGACCGCTTTGGAGGGAGCGGGGAACAGCTGGGATGGGGGCCCACAGGGGCGAGATGGCCCTTCTCCTCTGCTCAGCCCCACTCACACCAGCCTCTCTCCACTCTGTACTGCTGGGGGGCACATGACACTGCCCTGTCTCCAGCAAAGTCTCCTGTGAGGGACTGCAAGAAAGCCCATTTCTTTTTTTTTGGCCATGCTGCGTGGCTTGTGGGATCTTAGTTACCCAACGAGGGATTGAACCCTGGCCCCCAGCTGTGGAAATGTGGAGTCCTAACCACTAGACCACCAAGGAATCCGGAGAATGCCTATTTCTTTCCAGCATCTGGTGGCGCTGCTGCTGGTGTGGTGAAGGGGCCCGGGCTACGCAGGCAGACAGTTCCCACAGTGGCAGCATGACACCACGGCACTCTGGTCTGGGTGTAAGGATAGCAAGGGGTCTCTTCCGGCCCCAGTGTCAGTCAAGTGCACGCCTGTCTTCTACTCAGAGCCAGTGCCTCCTGAGTGACTGGCCTTATGCCACGTGGCAGTGTAGGCCGTCAGGGTCCCCCACTCTCCCAAGACCATCGGATGGGAGGGGAACTCCCAGGACGACTGTCATCAGTAACCACGCCATGATTAGAACCCCAAGCCATGCACTGAAAACCCCATTGCCCCCCCGCCGGGAAGGTCCTCGTGCGCTGAGGTTCAGCACTGCAGGACTCAGCCTGTGCTGGGGCTGACTTCCAGCCCTGAGCAACAGGCCAGCCGTGCACGAATGTACACAAGAAGGGTCCTCCGTGGGTGGCAGAGAAGCTGGTACAGACAGGCAGCTGATTAAAGATTTATTACCCATGAAAGAACGACCTGCCACTCAGAGATGCTGGCCACCAGCCCACTTCCGGCCAAGGTCCTGCACTGAGGTTTGTCCTCGAGCGTGCCACCTCTGGCCCACCAGTGCTCGTGGCTAGGCCTCCAGGGGAGTCCGGCCCCCTGGTCACACAGTCCTTGCTACCGGACAGGTTACTTGGCCAGCTCCTCTGCCACTGCTTTGCGCATCTTGTCCTTGAGGTAGGCGCTCTTCTGCCATTCAGACTTAAGTTCCAGCCACTCGTAGTATGGGACCTGGGGAGGCAGGAGACAAGTCAGGGCAGGCAGGGACCCCTGTCCCGCCTGCTGCCCTGCACACCACACCCCTGGCCTCCAAATCCCGAAGGAAGAAGCCCACGGAGCTGCCGCAGCATGGGTGGGGAAGAGACCCTGACTTGGTCAGTGCTCAGAGCTGCAGGGGCCCACGGCTACACAGGACCAAGAGCAGCCTCTAGATTTTAAAAGTTGTACCGAAAGCAAAACAAAAAACTCAACAGGAGAGTCACTCATGTGAATCTCCGGCCCCTGACAGGACAGCCTGCTCCCGTGGCACAAGTCTCTGCAGTGAAAAGCTGGAGCCAGGCCCCAGGGCCGGAGCACAGCAGAACCCTGGCTGAGGCACACGTCGGCACTTGGACCTGGGCACCTGGCTGCTCTTACCCGTCTAAGACTAAGAGGCCCTGGCTGTGGAGATGGTAACAGTGCCTATGGCATCAGATACTTAAAAGCTGTGTGACATTGAGAAAGATACAACACCCTTTCAAGCTTCCCTTTTCTCATGTGAAGGGGGAATCCCAACATGGCTGACCTCAAGAGCTGGGGTCCGTGTGAGCACTGGCTCCTCCCATAACCCGACTGGGCTGGAGGCTTCTCCCTGTGCAGTCACCACCCACCCAACAGATACTCACATCGACCAGCAGGAAGCCAGCGGCCAGCAGGTGGCGCCGGGCCAGCACGAAGCGCCCCAGTAAGTCTTTGCTCCTGCTGTTGAAGTTGGGGAACTCCCAGCGCAGGAAGGCCAGCCTGCAGGAAGAGGGGCGCTGTGGGTGCTGACAGCTCTCCTAGGCCCCTGGAGGGAAGAGCGAATGCTGAGGAGCCAAGTGCACGTGGCCCCCGAGGCTTGTGTGGTCGCTCACCTCTTGGCCCCCGGGGGTAGTGGCTGGCTGCCAGAGGGCAGGGCGAGATGAGGGGCCACAAAGGCCCTCAGGGGCAGGAGCTGGCTGTCGGTGTCCAGCAGCACCTCAGCATCTAGGGAGAGCACGGAATGAAAACGTGTTGGGGACTGTCCCCTGGCGTCCAACTGGGCTGACAGCCCCGCCCCTACGATGGATGAACAGAGACCCTGGAGAGCAGAGGGGGCAGGTTTAGAACAGTCCCCAGATGGGACTGTGGGGAGGGGGAGGGGGGGGGTGGAGGGGGGAAGGCAGATTTTTTTTTTTTTTTTTTTTTTTTTTTTTTTTTTTTTTTTTT